TGTTATTTCCTCTTGTTAATCTGTCTCATGTCTTGTCTGTTTGATTATTAGACCATCTGAAAGAAACTTGAGGGTAGAGGAAAAGATTCTTCCTCCCTCACAAAAACCTGACTCTACTGTTACCAGACAGGAGCCTGGCCCTGAGTGGGTCTGCCCAGGGCCGGCTGCACTATGTGGGTTCTTGACATCATGAAGGAAATATTTCACAACACAGGTCCAGGTGACTATGAGGATGCATTTGTTGAAGCTGGGGATGATGGAACAAGGGCTTAGCACAGAAGAAGCAACAGGAGAGCCTAGGCTGGGCTGCCTTAGCTCACGGGGAAGTCAGAGAAAAGGGGCCTTTGGGGACAGGTTCAGGGCATTTGCCTGGGACAAACTGCCAGCTGCCCATTGCCTTAGAGTTTAAGCAACGCATGGCCAAGAAGAAAGAAGTCGGGGAGTAGAAGAAGGGCAAGGGAGTGGCCCAGGCTGCTCCCCTGAGGGAGAGCGCACTTGCTGGGTCCTTCATCTTGAGGCCTTTTATCTCTTTCTTGCAGGTGGGAATCTTCGAGGAGGTCTCAGGGGAGGGTTTCAGCAGAATATTCATCAGTTCTCCAGGTGTATCCTTTCAGGGTCATGGTCTCCTCTGATTGGTCAGTGCCAGGGCAGGGGGCCTTTAGTTATTGCAGTTGGTTCTGGTCATTGACCACCTGGTTTTGCTGGGCCTGGAGCTGAAATACAACTGAGGCTCAGATGTTATCTCCAGGGAGGAAAAGCAGGGGAGGAAAGGTTACCCTAGGGGTGAAGTCCTTGTTTCCCCAATTTTGCCCCCGGCCAGGCACAGGGGGCTTTCCTCACTGGTGACCATCTGCAGCTGGCTATAAATTGCTCGACCATTTTTCTCAGTTTTCCTATTCCACTTGCCAAGGAATTTTCCCAGTTTCTCATTATCCCGTCTCACTATCACTAACTAGCTATGTGTCCTTAGGCAAATTACTCAACATCCCTAAAATTCAGGTTCCTAATTTGCAAAATGGAGATTATAGTTCCTGTCTCACATATTCATTGTGAGGATTTATTGATGTTTTAGAGAAAGAGAGGAAGGTGGGAGGAGACACAGAGAGAAACATTGATTTTGTTGTTCCACTTATTGATGCATTCATTGGTTGATCCTTTCATGTGCCCTGACCAGGGATCAAACCTGCAACCCTGGCGTATCTGGACAATGCTCTAACCAACTGATCTATCTGGCCAGGACCTAGTGTGAGGATTAATTCATGTTTGTGACACATTAAATACTGTTGGGGAGGAAAAATTATCCTTGACTCCTCAAGGTTCTTCTGGCTGGATTAAGAATCAAACTAACACAAGACAGATTAGCAGAAGAAAAACTGAGACAGTAGAGGGGTAATATCTGGACTTCATCTTGACGAAAAGATCTCCATCTTAAGAGGCCAGACTATGACTCCTTGCTTTCAGCAAAATTCTGTAGTTGAACTTAACCTAAACACATACTTAAAGGAAAGAATGTATGACGATAACATTTTTCTCAACACCATGTTCTGCAAAATAGTCGTTTTATCAACTAATGGTATCCAGAATGTTTGCACAAGTATTATTTTATAGGCCCTTTGGGTGGTCCACTGACCATGGAAAACATCTTGTGACTATGCCAGGATCAACTGCCAGCAGACCTCAATCGCGGGACAACTGACTTCATCCTCAGCCATCCACAAGAGCCCCTTGGGAGCTTGACTTCTCTCTTCTGGTTGACTCTCTTGTGCATAGACTCTTTTCGACAAACTGTCTGCTTGACTTGTACTGAGTTCTGTTCTTATTTCTATGATGTTGAGTCTCAAGAAACTGACATTTAGGTCTGGTGACACTGCTATGTGATAATTGAAGCCTAGAAGGCAAAAGTGGAGTGTGTTTGTTGGGAGAAACTGCTGAGTAAAGAAAACACTGGGGCTATGGTAGAGTCTCATTGTAAAATCCATTCCTATTTTTGGAATTCCTAACCTAAAATAGGGCTTTTCCCTCCAACTCTTTCATCTAACTTCTTTCCTGTGAAGAGGGACAAATTGGTGGTCAATCCAGTTTTGCCTTAGGGAATTTGTCTGAACAGGGACAAAAAGATCAAGTGGCAATGATAGGACTTTTAGTGCTTACAAGTACCCTTGACCAAAGAGATCTTAATCTGGGGTCCTGGGTAGAAGATTCCAGCCTAGTTTCTTCTACTGACTCCATGGCTGTTTTTTTTAGGAACCAGGGCTACTTGCTGGAAGCCAACCTTGATTAATATGAATTATTTATTCCTGTTCTTTTCCATCCTAAGCTATTTATTTCTATCACATTTATCTAGATATATTTCTATGGCACTAAGCAGATACCCTCTTTCCTGTTAAGACCACCCCAAAATGCATCAGGTAAAGTTATGGGGTCACATACTTTAAAAATCTGATTAAGGGGTGGAAAAAAGAATACCAGACATTTCTTCAATGGATCTCAAAGTGAGACCTGCTTGTGCTCTAGTCTCTAGAAACAGTTAAACCTGAGGTGTTCTGATTATCCTTAGGTTAGATGTTTTTTGGTCTCAAGCTCATTTGTGTCCACAAATTGGTTAAAAAAACAAAACCCATTAAATTTGCCATCTCTCATTCCTCCAGGCCTTGGAAGTGCCCTCAAAAGCTTCAGACAAGATGCTTGAGAAAATAAGCCTTCAAAAGAGAAATGTACACCACCCCAAAATCGGGTTACATTCCATAATAAAGCCCTCACCGTTTAGGTAGCAACTCTCCCATTACCACCGGGACAGGGCTGAACTCCCAGACTTTTACGACACCACTGGCTGCCTGCAAGCGGCCTTACACACTGAGATGCTGCTCTAGGCTCTTCAATCTATCCTCCACACTTAAGCAGATTTTCTTTACAACTACCAGGGAGCTTTCTGAAGGCAGCACCTCCTTCCAGTAGCCCACCCCACTCCAACGCTTCTCCTTTCCAGCTTTGCCTCCAGCTGGCCTACCAAGCTGTTTATTTGCTGGAGGCAGCTTTTCCTCATTCTTTCAGTTCCACTTCTCCCAGATTGAGAAATTCTGGGCTTGCTCTGCATTCGTTGTTTTTTTTCTTCAGTCTCAAGGTTTTCTTGTTTTTTATTTTTTTTCTTTGTCATCAGGCACCTCGTCCTGGGTTTGTGTGGCTTTGTTCTCTGCCTGTGGATCACTGATTGACAGGGCTAATGCCAGCGGGTCCTTAAGATCCCAAGGGATAGACCAGGTGGCCTTTTCACCCACACCCTGAGACTCCTCCTAATTGCATCAGTGCTCACGTACCTATGTGGAAAATACTTGTGGACCGTCAGGCTTGGGGTTAATTGGTTTCAGTTTACGTCGTAGGGGAGCAGAGTCCTGTTGCACATGCAGCCCTGGTACAAGTGCCCGAACCAGCTTTACTCCAAGAGGAGTGGTGTCCTGAAGGAAAGCAATGCCTTTTACTCCACCCTTTCATACGCCGCCTCCAGCTCCTTTCAAATGGAACAGATGAAGTCTTAGATTACAAATTTTCAAACTCAATTAATTGTTCATTAATATCCAGGAGTGGCAGATACACGCTGCTTCCCTTTTCATGGCAGGTCAAAGATGAAATTTGATTATGATTTGAAGGATGTGGTTTGCCTCTTAGTCCCCTGCTGTATCTTTATCAGTGTTCTGTGGCCCAGAGCAGCCTAAAGTGCCCTTATTTAACCAAGGGAGGCGCACTTGCCTGCATATATAGAGACAGGAGCAAGCACTGGGAGAAGTCAAACCCGTTCTGCACAATGAAGAAGCAACGTAAGACCGAGGCAGCACCACACTGTGAGCTAAGTAAGTAACTAGTAAGTATGCAAGAGTCCAGGGAAGGTGCCTGGCTGAGCTGGGTTCCCACGGGAAAGGTTCTGATCTGGAGGGACTTTCTGAAACTTCCCAGATCTGTTATAGAGAGGTTCTCCGAACTAATTTGTGCATTTTCTTTTCTCTCCAGGAGAAAGTCTGTATGCAAGTCAGCCTGTACCATTACAATGCTCAGCCCAGTTTTTTGGTCCCCAAGTTTTTTACTTTGTACTTCAGTTTGGATTTTCCTTTTTGCAATTTACTCTCCTTTTCTAATCTCTTGAACTCTTTTACCAACTAGGAAAATTTTCTCCTAGCAGTTTTTACATGAAGAAAGAAGTTGGAAGGGTTTATGCTTTTCCTCTCTAGGCCTACGACTTGGTTAAACAAGCTTGGTTGTCTTTAATATAAGTGTGGGGGATGTGTCTAGGAATGTTTCTATAGCTCTAAACGACATTGTAGAAAATTAGGGTGGTTGGTCAGACCATTTACTTTCTCTCCTCTACAGCACCGCTAGTCTGGCTGCCATCTTCAGAGAAAGTCTCTAGGCTGTGAGGCTGAGGCTGGGGATGGAGTGGGATTCCTTTGGGGTAGGTGGAGATAAAGCCTGGGGGAGGAAGTGAGGTAGATGGGTAGGATGGAGGAAAATGACTCATTACCAAGGCTTGGGAGTAGGGCATCTGATGAGGTCCAGCTGGCTGCAGTTGCTGATGTTTCGCGGTTCTTCTCAAGTGTGGGGTGCTCTTGGTGGGGCACAGATACTATGATATGGCTCTGGGGGCAAGAGGAAAAAGTCCTGCAGGTGGCTGTACTTTACAGGATGGAGATGTACTTCGGGGAGCCACGTCCCTAAAAGAAACGAGGTGGATTGCCACTAACTAACGTGAGGGCGAGACGAACTATTTCACGAAACTTATCTGTCCGCGGGGTGCGAGCCTCCAAATGCACACTTCGTGGGCTGAACCAGCCTAAGCACCTGCTCTGCGGGTTGTAGCTCTCTGCCCAGGCCGCTGGGGCCTCGCCCCTTGCCCGATCTCGGGGTGGGCGGAGCCTCGGGACAAGCCGTAGAGTTGCCACGCGCGCTGGCAGCTACCGGGAATTCGGAGAATCCGGCCAATAGGAGTGCACGGCTGCTGTCCTTTCGGCCAATGGCGGGGCGTATAGGGGTTGGAAGGCTTGGCGCTGGCTCCAGGACTATGGAGCCGCTGGCGCTGGAACGGCTAGTCTGGTGACTGCGGAGGTGGTAAGGCCAAAAGCGGGCGACGTCAGAGGTGAAGCGGCAACTCCGTCTTCCATAGAGTGGCCGGAACGGCGCGGGGTGGCTTGAGGGTCGGCCCGGGAGTAGGCGCCGGGGCGCGCGGGGCTCCGTGCGGGGCTCCGTGCGGGACTGTGGGGGTGGTACGGGTAGCGAGGGCCAGAGGCGCGGGGTCTAGACGGAGCCGTGTTATTAGACGGGAGAAGAGGGCGCCGGGAGTGGTGTATGGGGGTGGGCGCGGGAGGAACGACAGAGTTCGCGGGGCCTCACCCCTTCTTTCCGCGGCCTAGGGGAAATGGCCAACCCTTGGCTGGACCTGCCACTGCCCAGGCACCCGTGATCGAGGGTTTGGTGGGTGACCCGCTTCACTCCGCAGAATAGGCCGAAAGGCACAGAGCAAGGTCTTGGTGGCCACCTTCTTACCTGCGGAGCTCTGGGGCCCGGTTCGCTCCCTGGGCTCCCCACTTCAACAAAAAGTTCAGTTTTGTGCAGCAAATAGAGCGGCTTCCAGTGAAAGGGCCGGGGCGGTCCTCCGCGTACTTGTGTGTAGGTTGGGTTTAGGCCTGTTTGTGCAGTTATCCCATATGTGAGTGGGGTGGACGTTCCTGAACTGTTCGGTTTCATATGTATCTAATTTTAAAGCCGTCGCTTTTACGCCTATCACCTTTGGATTCCTTTTCACTTTTGTTTTTCCCAAATTCTCTACCTCATTTATCAGACTACTTCAAAGATCATCATTAGGGGAGAAGTTGAGGAACGTGGGCTTGAGTTTCCCGTGTGTGAAATGAAGATATTTTCATATTGTCCACTGCTTTCAAAGAAGTGTTATGAAATTAAAGGAATATGACATCTCTTTAAAGTGGAAAGTAAAAGCAAAAATTATATGGAAGGAGAGTCAGGGGAACATAGGTTTCTAGAAACTTTTGCTGCCCTAATTTTAGTGAGTATTCCTGTAACAAGGCGGGGGACACTCTGTCTGTCCTGACTCCTGTGGAATCTGAAGCCCTACAAGTTGGCACCACGTGTTCCGCTGTGTAAACTTTTGCATAAGTTGATTAGCCTTTTTGTTTTCACGTACTTAAGATAGGGATTGATAGTATTATAAATTTTATAGTGTTTTTGGTAACTATTAAATGAGTTAATACACAGGAAATGTTTCTGGCATGTGGGAGACTTTGTTTTTGTTTTTGTTTTCCCACTATTCCCTGTATGTGCCTTCTTTCTCCTTGAATATTCTAAACTTAACCTTTGATCAGAATCCTGGAAGACTATTGCCAATGAACCCTTGTCATTAACAGTGATCTGAGTATATAATATAAGTTACCCATGACTGGATGCTTTCTGCTGGGTGTTTATTTTTTATCATTAAGTAAGGTTGTTTTGAAACTATCACTATAGGAGGTTTGTCTGTGATATCTGTTTTGGGAACATGAAACCTGAAAACTTCTGCTGTTTAATTTCTCATTGGATAATATTGCATTTACAGCCTTGGGGCCTAGGCACAGTTTATTTTGTACACAGTACCAAAAAGGCCATGATTGCAGCATACTTGATTTCTCATGTTTCCGGAAAGGCCAAGTTGGGATTGGGAGGGGAATTTCTTGGTAGCTTGGCAGCACTTTTTGTTAAAGAATGGGGAAGCGTGGTATGAATCTACTCCTACTCTGCTGTTAGGAAATCAGCTATGTTCCTTGGATCACTCTACGGAGCTACCAAGCAGCTTTGGTTCAGTTTTGACTCAGTAGAAGTGCAGGTCAGAGGTTAGAGGTTAGAGGTTAGAGGATGGTATCCACAAAGTTATAGCTTGTCCATTTGACTTTTAGTGCTAAAAGCTTTGGTGGGTGCTGTGGAATCAAAGACATTTTTATTCCCTGCCTCCTCATCATGTACCTAAATACAAATGTGTGATGAAAGATTCATGCCCTTTTTATGGGCTTCAGAGTCTCTCTCAAGTTCTCTCTGGAAAACTCTGATCGAAGACTGTCATGTCTTCTAGTTCTCCTCCTTCGAGGAAGCTGCTCTTTATTCCTGTATCCTTATTGGGAACTAATCGCAAGATGAGAAACTTTGAATTTACAAAAAAGAACATTGCGCCCTGGTCAGTGTGGCTCAGCTAGTTGGAGTGCCTTCCTGCAACTGAAAGGTTGTGGGTTCGATTCCTGGTCAGGGCACATACCTAGGTTGCAGTTTTCATCCCCATGTGGATCCCTGGTCCGGGTGCGTTTGGGAGGCAACTGATCCATGTTTCCCTCTCACATGATGTTTCTCTCTTTTCCTTACTCTCTTTCTAAAAGCAATGAGAATATGTCCTCTGGAGAGGAAAAAGTTTTTTTAAAAATTAAAAAAAAAAGAACATTGCTTACTTTAGCAGTATGCTGGTCCCATTTGGCTGAAATGCAGATGGTATAAGTTTAGTTACTTAGCTTCGCAATAAGACAATTTAGTACTACTCCTGTAAGGTTGAAAATTGGATGTTGGCATGGTGAGAGTAGAGGACAGTGTCTTTGTGAAACCTCTTTATTCGTACTTGAATAAGGACAAAAAGGAGTGACATCTTTAAAGAGTTGAGTGTTTGCCCTGACCAGTGTGGCTCGCTCAGTTGGGTGGGCATTGTTCTGCAAAGCGAGGGGTCACTGGTTTGAATTCCTGTCAGTGCACATGCCTGGGTTGCAGGTTCAGTCCCTGGTCAGGGTGCATATAAGAGGCAACTGATCGATGTTCCTCTCTCACATTGATGTTTCTCTCCCTCTTTTCCCTTCTCCCTAAAAATAAATAAATAAAATCTTTAAACAAAAATAAAGTGTTTGAGGTACAAAGGGAAACATTTTGCCCTAATATTCTCATCTTTATCATCTGAGTCTCTGTGTTTTGAATAAAATATTTTGGAAAAGAAGGCTGGTAGCATTTGAATGTGTAGAATATCAGGAGTTAGAAGACCTAGACTTTTGTCTCACTCATTGGATGCCATTTGTTTTTTTGATAATTTAACACAAATATATTGAACAATTAACTTTTTTAGAAAAGATTTTATTTTATTTTTAAAGATTTTACTTATTTACTTTTAGAGAGAGGGGAATGGAGGGAGAAAGAGAGGAAGAGAAACATCAGTGTGTCAGAGATACATCACTGGGTTGCCTCTTGCACGCCCCCGCTACCACCCAGGCATGTTCCCTGACTGGGAATCAAACCAGTGACCCCTTGGTTCTCAGGCTGGCACTCAATCCACTGAGCCACACCAGCCAGGGTGAACAATTAATTTTGTTTTGTTCACCCTGGAGACACAAAGAAGAACCCTACAGGTATCATCCAGAATATCATTGATAAAGTAAAACATATATTTCTGGTTAGGAGGAAATCAGAGGAAGCTCACACTGTGCGAGTTGGGAGAGACAAAGACCATATATGTATTATAGGCTATATTTTAATAAAATCAGAATAGACTATAAAAGACTTGGCTAGGAATGGTAAAAATATATTTATTGTCCAATTGCTCTTTTAATTTAAGGTCAGAGTAACTTACATTTTTTAGTGTAAGAGTCATTTTTAATGAAGACTTAAAATGGGAAGTTAGGGTTTTCAGTGTTTGTGCCTAGTGCTAGTAGGTCATCTTATATGGGTTATTTTTGTTTTGGTCCCATTTATTGCTAATAATCACGTGTCTATTAAACCTTCAAGGTAATGAAAGGAGAAGTTAAAGTTCTAACAGGTTCCAAAGATCAGAAGAGAGGCATGAATGAGGTTGCAGAATCTTGTAGTATGTATTGCCTGTCTTTACACATAATTTGTTTCTTGCTTTAAGAAAAGACATTGAGGTAAATATGTACTTAAGCTGTTAAGGCCAGTCTACATTGAGGGGTGGGGGGACAATACTGTCATTAGAATGAATGAGTTGAATATAGCCTAATGATAATCATTTTTTATATTTACCAGAGCAAAAAACTACTTAACCAGGTGTGAGGGCAAGCACATTTTTTTTTTCCTGAGGCCAGAAGTAGGTAATAGATTGATTAATGGACTTTTTTATTTCCCTCTAAAGGGGTCTTTGAAATTGTTTGCAGAGTTGCAGTTGTGTTCCAGGATAGATGTGTCAGGCTGGGAGGCCGGGTTGGTCTCCTAAAGGGAAATGCACTGCTGTAAATTTCTGGTTAGGAGGAAATCAGAGGAAGCTCACGCTGTGCAAGTTGGGAGGAACAAAGACCAAGCTGTGGCCTCTAGAAGTAAGACTTCAATGAGCAGTGAAGGTTTGGAAGCTGGTTAAGCCTCAGCACTGAGCAGAGAAAGTGAAAAATTCTATTTAGGAGGTATGGGGCCCCTCTGATTCCGACGTCTCTGGTTGATGAGTGGCATTTTTGTTTCAAAGACCTGTGCTTCTTGACAGCCTGACCACATTTCTTCCAACTGTTATCAGCGTTCACACCCAAGCAGCCAGTTTCATTATCTGCTGTACTCTTTCTCCCAGTATCTTACTTCGTCTTTCCTTTTGCTAATTAAATTTTCTTTTTTTTTTGTGAGTAGATGTTCTCAATGTCAGGTTTTTCTTTCAACTATAACACGGAGTCTCAAAAGTCCAACTTAGATGAGAAGTGGCAGACTAGATATTGAGTTGAAATCGTGATCCTCTGGTAGACCAAGCAAGACTGCTGCTGTGGCGCACAAAGTCAGTGACGGGAAGAGCAGTCTAAGCTGACATTTCAGTGGCCGTTGTGCCAGAGAGAGAGAGTTACTTACACACATACAGATGCCTAGATACTTATAAAGCACATTGCACAATAGCAGCATTGTTTGTACTTTATGAACTGGGCGTGTTTGTGTGGCTTTCAGTTGAAGACATTCTAATATTACCCACTTAGGCAGAGAGGAATTAGAGTTTCTAGGCCTTTTTCTTAAGCGAACACCAGAAGGACTTTTTACTTTGCTCTTTCTGTCAGGAAGTAGATGTAATCAGTCTTCCACCAGTCTTTAAAATTTTATGTTGAATTGATTTTCATAAGAGAAAAAATAGGATACACTTATCGA